CTCTTTTGAAATTCATTTCAGAAGTCCACTAAAATTATACTTAGAACTCTTCATGATTTTTTTCTCAGAACACCTTGGAACTGAAATTCCTTTAGAGTTTCACAAATTTTTCCCGGAATGAGCTTGAAATTATCCTCCGAATTTGCTTGGAATTTTTCTTAAAATCCCTTTGGAATTTCACTCAAAATTTGATTTTCTCGGTATTCTTTTCGAAATTATCTTGGAACTATCTGCAGGATGCACTAGAAATTATCCGTAGAATTTTCTTTGAATTTACCCCAGAATTATTTTGGAACTGTCCTCAGAATTCAATATCCTTGAGGTTCTTCTCGGAATATGAACTTTTTTTTCTCAGAACACCTTGGAACTGAAATTCCCCTAAGGTTTCAGAAGAATTTTCTCTGTGTTCTCCAGAAATTCTTCCCGGAATGAGCTTGAAATTATCCTCGGAATTCCCTTGAAATTTTCCTCAACATCCCTTTGGAATTTTATTTAAAATTTGATTTTCTCGGTATTCTTTTCGAAATTATCTTGGGACTATCTGCAGGATTCACTAGAAATTATTCGCAGAATTTTCATGAAACTATCCCCAGAAATCTTTTCTTGTGGAACAGTCCTCAGAATTCAATATCCTTGAGGTTCTTCTCGGAAGTAAAGTTTAAGTTGTCGACCCATTCACCAAAACGTTGCAGTTTTTCTACCAGAAATGTTCAATAAAGCTTGCCCCTGCATTCACCAGAACTGTGCAATTTTTACATCAGGAATTTTCAATACAAACTTGCCCCCAGGTAATTTTAGACCAAAAAATTTCAATTGGCCAGAATGGTGCATATTTTCCACCGTTACCCGAGCAGGAGAAAATAACTAATGAATACCCAATTCTGATCTGATACCAAAATTTGGTGTTGACCAGCATGACATAAGAGGTAAAATATCAAAGAATAATACCAAAAAAATACATGGAAAATACTTTGTAGATACCAAAAATTTATATTTGGATACCAAAAGAATACCTGGGTGGTATTGTTTTGGTATAGCATTATCATAATTTGGTATTGGAATGGTATTGTGGGAACATTTTTTTGGTATTATTTTTTGGTATTTTACCTCTCATCCATACCAATTTAAGGTATCGAGATATTCGTTCCTGCTCGGGTGCTTATCCAATCTTCTGATTCGTGCAGATTTCCTTTTTCCATTTTCTACCAGACATTTTCAATATAGCTGGCTTCTCCTATCATCCTAAATTTTCAGTAAAGCAGCTTCCCTTCCAATCATCAGAATGTTGCAAATTTTACACCAGAACTTATTATTAAAATTTGTTTCTCTATTCAGCAGAAGGATACAAATTTAAGACCAAAATTTTTCCGAAAAGCTTGCCTATTCGTTCACCAGAACGGTGCAGATTTTCCACCAGAAATTTTCAATAAAGCTTGTGTACCTTCATTTACGAGACCAGTGCAAGTTTTCCACCAGAAATTTTCTGATCATTTCATATATCAGAGCGATGCAAATTTTTCACCAGAAATTTTCAATAAATCATGGTCCTCCATTCACCAGAACGGTGCACCAAAAATTGTCAGTGAAGTTTGTTTCACCATGCACCTTGTGGTGCAATTTTCAGGCGTTGCCGCTTCATGCACCAGAATGGTGTAAATTTTCCATCATGAATTTTCAATGAAGCTTGCATTCATCAGAACGATGCAAAATAGTGCACCAGAAATTTTCAGTTAAATGTGCACCTCCACATTTTTAGCGTGATTCAATTTTACCACCAGAGTTATTGATTTTGATTAGTCCCCACCATGCACCACCTTGATGATATGTTTACACTAATATTGAGCTTGAGCTTGAGCTTGATTGACCGCCCACGGTTGCTACTCTGTTACTGCCAGATCAGCTGTAATTACACAGAGAACCAATAGACGATGCTTGGGACTAGCAATCATCTTCAATGTGTAAAAACTGGTGATCTTAAATTAGGCAATACCAGCGCCGGCAGGGACCGAACACAGGTCAAGAAAGGAATGGGAAGGATTGTGTTGACATGACACTCGCTTTGATGGAAGCCGAGAACACCTCTGCACTTCCACGAGGAATCACTGGGATGTTGGATAAGAGGGTTGGGTTTGCAGCAGTGTTCGTTTTGGTAAACGATAAGCTGAATTGATGTCCTAACGATCATATAACGCGAAGGAGCTTGGGACTAAACCCACGGTCTTCTGCTCAGTAAGCCAAAACGTTTGCCACTAGGCAGACGAGCACCTTTTTAATCACCGAGTTGCTATTATTACCATGTAGTCATATTGACAAATAAAAAGATTGACGAATCTTGAATGTGGATGGGCCTGAGATTAGACTCATGATGTTCTGCTCAGTAAGCAAAAACGGTTGCTCTTAGGCCACCGAGCCCCTCATATCACATCATACCGTTGCTCAAATTTGTGTATCCATTCGAGCCCGGAACCAACGACAACAATGAGTTTCGCAAAATACACGATACACTAGCGATTTTACCATAAATCTCTTTGATATGTAAGGACCTGGGACCGCGTTTTTCTGCTCAGTAAGCAGGCCACTGTAACCGACGATCTTTCAAATCCGAAAACTAAAAACTACGAAAAAGTACTTAGGCCTTCATTAAGTTCCACTTTCACGCGACGTTCAATGACAGGGTCCTATCCAGGATTACATCTGAAAAATCCAAATCTGGCCAACGCCCACCTAAACCTGTTCCAATCCACCTGAAATGACTAACGAATAGAAGACTTTGACTACCCAGCCATGCAATAGTCTCATTCCGTGCCTTATGGCAACTTGATGATTCTATTGCGCTCATCTTTTGGCACCACCCAGGGGAGACTTGGTCCTGTACTCAATGCTTAACTTATCTCCATTCCACTCAGCTACTCGCAATTTCTTGTGATATAGTGGGCGGAATATTATTATATGAGACAATTCAATGCAGACGTCTTTCCAAATTTGGCAGATCGACAGGTAATCGGTGAGTTACCACGATAGTTGCTATTCAACAACTCGACAACGTCCCATCGTCAACGCCTGCTATGAGAATTTCCCATTGCAGACGTCAACGAAGTGACGTCATCGAGCTATCGATCAACTACCCTGGTTATGGCCTGGTACCTTATAGCACGATGCTAGGAGGCAAACCGGAAGAATCGATGAGCTACTTCTCCCCCGATGAAATGTTTACACTAATATTCAATAAAAAGCTTTTACTTCGATTTACCACCACGAAGGTGAATTTTTTCAACCTTAAATTTACCCTTAAAAAATTACACCAGAATTTTTTTGTATGCACCACTGTGGTGCAATTTTCAGACACCATCTCAAAGGAATTGACGCAATAAAAGGTTTTCAGTGCCCTCATATTATGAAATGAAGTTATTTTACCTTCAAATCAAGTTATCAAGAAATCAAGTTATTTTATATTCTAATTTTGTAAATGTGAAAATTAATTATCTTATTCATAAGAGGGGGGGGGGGTCAATTGCTCCATCTTGCTCCACCCTGTGTACGCCAGTGAAACACTAATAAACATAAACCAACAGGGCTCTATGGATGCCAAAATTTAGCCACAATATCTCTTTAAGTCTGCAGAACATCAAAATCTGAACTCCAGGATGATTATTTTTTATCCGATCAATTATTCAGCATGGTTTGAAGATCTTATTGTGCCCCGTGTTTACTGTTCTTGATTTCATACGGTGTGCTTGGGCTTTGCGAGGATTTTTGAAAACATATCTTTGCAGAACATCTCTTTTGAGTCTCTGTTGTACTTTTAAAGATAAAGGTCTAAACTTCAAAATAATTTGGATGCCATTTGGATCATACCAAAAAATCGTGACGTCTTTCGGCAACATATTGCGGGTGTAATTTAAAAAAAACCAAAATCGACCGCGTTACGAAAAGTGGTCAGGTTTTGACCACTTATAACTCTGTCAATAGCGGATGGATTTTATTTCTTAACAAGTCAAACGATCGAAAATTTTTCTACAAGTCTAATAAAATGAACACTTTATCCATTTTGAATAGGTCACTATTGAAAATAACACAAATGTCACACTGTTGCAATTATTATTATTATTATCATTTATTAGTGACACTTTATCACTTCTGTGACATTCGTGTCGCACTGTTGCAATGGTGATCAAAATTATCACCGATTGCCTGCAAAAAGAGCTTTCCCTAACACAGAGTTCAAAACCGGTCTCGCCGAATGGTGTTTATTCAATCACCGCGTGTGGTAGGTGCTGGTGTCCGGTCGTCATAATTATCAGCAGCAGCAGCAGTACTTTTGACGCGTGGCGTTGTACATTTTTCTCCAGTACACAGCAGAAAGTCTCCTCGCAAGCAGCTAGCTATCAAAGCTGCCCTCAAGAGCCATCGATTTACCGAAGAAGGAGGAAGAAGCCGCACCGCTACTGATCGGATTCAGTTGCTCGTCGTCACCCTCGTTCCAAACAATATACAGCTCGCCAGCCTCATCCGTGTTGAACATCCAAATAGCTCAGCATTACTCAGCCATCACGACAAAATAGTTCTTTTCAGGACCACCATAGATTATTGTTGTTTAAGAGTTAATTTTCATTGAACGTTCGCTCGCCTTGCTGCCAGCCACATCACCCCCCAGAGCTATTTGATAATGTACATGAGAAACACTTCGAATTATTACACTCGAACTTATATGATTGATCGTGAATATCTCACGATTGGAAAGTTTTAGCAAGAAATTCCTCCAATAAATTTTCGCTATTTTTATTATCTATTTAATAAACCAAAAATTCCATGCGTTTTGTGAACGAAAATGCGTATTTTTGTCATCAGAAAACGAGGTGTTTCCGTGATGAAAAAAAAAAGTTTCCCTAACACAGTCGCCGAATTTTGATACCGAGCACGGAATCCTACGGTAAATCTAAGATCGTGTCTACTGTTTAGCTCCGAAACTGACATCCACAATCCCCACATTCAATACTTACATTTGATGATTTCCTCAAACCGCCCCCGCAGCAGTTTGTAGTACTCTAAATGCTTCTGGTATTCGCTTTTCTTCCGGGCGACATCTTCTGTCATCTGCAAATATAGCAATAAGATCGAAAACACTCAATTAGTTTCATAATGCCCATCTCTCACTGCACACATAAGGCACACTCTAATCTCACTCATAAACATCATTCAGTCAGTTTCGCCACCCACCCGCAGTGCATGGGTAGGAGTCGGGTTTCCAATTTGCAACACAGGTAGGCAAATTGCAAACATTCGAGAGCCTATTTGTTGTTATCATTGGAAACAGGTGTGCCCGTTCCCACCCACCCTTTCGCAACGCTGTGCCATCATAGGCATGGCAATTGGCAGCCGGCTAATTTATGCGTGCAATACGCGACCATTAAATGCCAATCTCACGTATCAAGAGGGCGCAGCGTTCGGGCGATGAATTATATTTCGCATAATCATTAGCATAGGTACCAACCGAAGATGAGATGCCGGCGACAGCGACTTTCATTAGTTGTGTTATGTCATACAGACAATGTTAATCTAATTATGCCGCGCGCGGCTCACACTGCCGTCGAACTTTGGCGGAGATAGTGGTCGTAGGTATGCGGCATATCTAATAACAATAGACGTGCATGTTTATGCCGAAACACTACACGTGTGTACATTGTTCGAGGGTAGTGGCGGCGGCGGCTGCGGCGGAGGGCACGGGTAATTAACCTGTCTTCAAGCAGTGCGATCTTGCGAAAAACGCGCTGGAAAAATGCTACAAATCTCGAACAATTGATAAGCATGCTCCGCCGCTGCTGCCTCTGCTGCAATCGAGCGTTAAAGGCGAGAAAATTGTTTTGTTTTAGGCTGTGAACGGGAAAGGATTGCGTAGAAAAACCGATTAATTGATTGAGAATCTTTGTCGAGGGATTTCAACTGTGGTGCATGTGAATGTGGTGCATAACGCGCAGAACATTTTCCCAGAGATGGAGCTGTTTACTTTGTAGAAGAGAGAAAATCAGGTACTTCCAATATTTGCAAGCAGTAATCAAGAATTCACGTTGCCAAATACCTTCTTTGGAACTGTTACTTTGAAATTTATTTGTTAATATACTGTAAAATTAATAATTACATAAACTATACTTTCTACCTTACTGCACAATTATCTCTCATACAAGCTCAATCTCTCAACATGCCATGTATTTTGATGACACACGATTTGTGATTTCCCTGTCACAGACTTCAGAATAGAGTACCTGTTGTCGGTACCCTTAGGATGTGAATCAAAATGCATATATAGAGATACCAGACATGTTTTGCAGTATCAGGTACTCTATTTAGTAGTCTGTGATAGGGATGTCTAGGATTGTTGACTGCAGTATCCACTGTTAACAACTAACGGGAAGCAGTTTATGCGTAATTCCAACAATAAAACAATCTCGCCTGCCGCGAATGTTTGCACATTCATTTTGTAACTCGCTACTTTATGCACCGTCTACGATACGCTTGTGCGAAAGATAAACAACGTGAAAGTATTTTCCCGACATCATCAAAATATGCATCTTCCCTGCCCCGGCCACGGTTGCCCACCACCCATATCATGTTGATTAAATGCGAAAACATGCAAAGTTATTATCACAAGCACAGGTCGTCGGAAAGTTGCAGGTTGCAACAACAAGAAGAAGAATGTTTTCGATCTGAGCTTTCATGTACGCTAGATACAATTTCGCATTTCGACACAGATCGTTGTTGTTGATGTTGTTGCTGCAGAGCTGAACCTCCTCCGTGTACCATATTTTCAAACAGGTCAATTAATGTGAACTTTGCCGGAGAATAATAACATGAAAAGTTTATTGTTCTTGTTGCTCTAACCGACCGTGCTCAATTTCTCGATGTTAGTAGAACGAATGCACGTATATGCGTTGCCATGTGGATAGGGTAGCAATTCTGGGACCTCCTTTCGACTAGTTGGCACAACCTGAGTGTGACTAGTTCGATTCACGATCGATGGGATTTTCTGACCGGACACTGCTCTAAAGGACAACCAGGTTGAGGGCAGGCGTAATGTTCCAGTTGGGACGTAATAGCCATGGAGAAGAAGGGTAGCAATTCTCACGTCATCATGATTAGCTGCTTCTGCTGCTGCGTTCGGGACGCCGGCGTCGTGTAGACACATCATCTTCGTCATTTTGATCGCTGATGTTTGTCACCCACCACCAGTTGCCGGTTCAGAAATCAGAAATATACTGTGAGCCATGGTTTGGCACCCGGTAGAGGTTTTTATTACATACGTGATAATGGGTTTGGATTTTGCTAAGCGTATAGATGGGAAAGGGGGTATTTTGCAGGGGTTGAAACATTTTCTAGGTAATCTAGCTTGGATGGATTAGATAGAGACGGTTTGATGCATTGGATGATGGGAAGCAATTTGGGGTGTTTTCATAATTGTCTTTCAGTAAAAATGAAAACTCAAGCATTTTATGATTCTGTTACATATCTAGATAGAGCTGGAATTAGGGCGTAACAGCTTTTGTAAACAATGACCCAAACCAAAATCCTCATCGGGTAGGGAAAGACTTCCCCTATCTGATGGTTATGTTGATGCGTGGACGTGCCTTGAATTAATAGAAATCATCGATAGAAGTCATTGTTTACCAAAGCTGTTACGCCCTAATTCCAGCTCTATCTAGAATATTATGGCTGAGTCCTATTTACCGAGTGAATTTTAACCCGGAGTTAAAAGAGGTAGTTCGAAAGCTATTTTCCGTGTTCAAAAATGCGTTTTTTATCGATCGCACGGTGGCCACTGAATTTAGATATTTTGAATTTTCAGTTTTCCTGATTGTCTAACATAGTCTTTCCGGTTTAATGGAAACAGCTAAATACGGTAAAATACCCCAAGTAAAATTCCCCCGAAAAGCAGGTAGATCACCTTTCCGTGGTGTTACTGGTGGTCGATCTTAAATCTTTACCTTACCTTAACAATCAGACTAAGGCCAGCCTCGTAGTCTGCGAAGGGTCCGCAAGTCGCGGAGGTCGATCCACCTTGCCCGCTGCGCGCCTCTTCTTCGTGTTCCTGTTGGATCGCTTTCTAGAACCATTTTCACTGGGTCGTCGTGCGGCATTCTTACGACGTGCCCAGCCCACCGTAGTCGCCCAATTTTCGCAATGTGGACGATGGATGGTTCTCCCAGCCGCTGGTGCAATTCGTGGTTCATTCGCCTCCTCCACGTTCCGTCATCCATCTGCACTCCACCGTAGATGGTACGCAACACTTTCCGTTCGAAAACACCAAGGGCGCGTTGGTCCTCCACGAGCATGGTCCAGGTCTCGTGGCCGTAAAGGACCACCGGTCTAATCAGCGTCTTGTAGACAGTCAACTTCGTGCGGCGGCGAATTTTATTCGACCAGACCGTCCTCCGGAGTCCAAAGTAGGCACGATCCCCTGCCATAATGCGGCTTTGAATTTCTCTGCTGGTATCATTTTCAGCGGTCACCAGTGAGCCCAAATACACGAACTCATCGACCACCTCGATTTCGTCACCGTCAATCTGAACTCGGGTGGGAGGCTAACACTGTCTTCCCTAGAACCTCTTGCTTTCATGTATTTTGTCTTTGATGCGTTGATGGCAAGTCCAATCCGCCTAGCTTCAGCCTTCAGTCTGATGTACGTTTCCGCCATCGTCTCTAAGTTCCGTGCCATGATGTCAATGTCATCGGCGAAGCCAAGAAGCTGGATGGACTTCCTGAAGATCGTGCCACTCGTGTCTATCCCTGCTTTTCTGATCACACCTTCTAACGCGATGTTGAATAGCAGACACGAAAGTCCATCACCTTGCCTTAACCCACTTGGAGATTCAAAGGGACTCGAGAGTGTCCCCGATACTCGAACAACGCACATCACTCGATCCATCGTCGCCTTGACCAATGGTCAGTTTATCCGGAAATCCGGATCTTAAATCTACCACATCGAACTCTGGCCCTAAGTTCTTCTTGTTGACGAGAGTCTCCGAGGAACTGAGATTGAAAACAAGACAAGGTTTGAACCAGGGTTCTGTTGGATGGTCAAATAATGAATTTGTCGGTAGCACAAAGACGAGCAGCAGGTGATTCAGCAATGCTCATAAACTGACTGCGGCTGTGGAATAGTTCTAGCGACGCGTCTAGAGCTTTCTGAGATGATCACGTTGGTCATGACGAGAGGAGCAACACAATAGTTGGGTAAAGAAGAATTGCATTATAACACACCATCGACTGGAAATGCTCTCGCAACGTGGGGCTTTAGGTAGTGATGAAAACGTCGCTAGAACTATTCCACAGCCGCAGTCAGTTTATGAGCAAAAGAAGGACGCACATTTTTGCCTGTGGACTTGGAGACATACTTCAAGTCCCCGCGTACATCGTACGGGTTAGGCAAAAATGTGCGTCTATCTTGAAAAACTGTCGCATTAATGGCCCTTCGCTCATTTTCAACTTCTATTCAATTTTCATACTGCCGTACTCTAACGGAACTATCCACCTACTCTCTTCTAAAAGATCATTCTCTAGCTAATAAATTATCACACTAAAGCTTCATGTTAGCATTTCCAACCAACTCTACTTACTTTATTTACTTTACTGCCATGATTTTTCAACATATTAACGAGTACTCTATACGATATTCTGAGACTGAGACGCGAACACTGGGTGAATGCAAACGAGTATCAAATAGGTGATTTCGAGTATCGTCCTGATCATCCTGAAAATGTCCAGCCTAACGGTATGAACGAGGTTTTTTGTCAAGCATGTAAGAGATTTACCGCAGTCCTCAGGGGAACATTATGGATTGGCCAATCTTCGAAAATGAGTTCAAGACGTCCACTACTGAGTGTAAGCTGACAGACAGAGATAATCTGAGAAGGCTGAGCAACGCTTTGCAGGGTAAAGAACTGTGGAGTCCTTGCTATCTGATCCTGAAAACGTTGAACTGATAATGAAGATGCTTAAATCTAAGTTTGGGCGCACCGAGTAGGTGAGTGGCTAACAGAATGTGTGAAGGACGGTAATATCGAATCTTTCCGTTCATTCTATAACACTGTCATCGGAACTGC